AAATTTTTCTAATGAATTATTTAAATAAAGACTAATATAAACCTAACAATGGCGCCATCTATGTTCTATCTACTTACCGCTGGCTTTTACACTAAAGTATCCAACAGAAATTACAGGAAATTTCGTAATGCTTTACGATCCGGCCTATATGTGGAGCTATAACATTCCTTTAAGCAAATTATTTTATTTTGAAATCCTTGATAAATTACAATTTAGAATTAAATATTTGGGCTAGACATACTGTAATCAACCAATAATTTATTTTCTTTTTCTTACAGAATAGTTCTTTAAATACTTTTTAGATTCAAGTATTTTCTATAACCCAAAAACAAAAAAAAAAATGATTGAATTGGATACTTATAAACATTTAAAGAGCGTCTTTTCATGAAAAACTTTAGCTGGAATAGCTCATTGAATGCTTAACTGATAATGGTGGAGACTAGCCTACACTTCTCCGATTGTTTTGAAATTTTAGTGTGTTTGTACGATTACTGGTCATGAATATCAATTAGAAACTACTATCATCTACTATTTCAGGTATTGGTAGGTGCCGAAAAATGTAGGTATCAAGGTATCATAATGTTTAAATGCGGTAGGAAATTGCATGGTAGCCGAACATTCGCACAATCGACCTACTGAAGTAATTCGGCTTATTTACAAAGGAACATATAATCACATTCCCATGTCCAATGAGAAGACACAATTTCATTGGTCGATCGTTTGCAAGTATGGAATGTCAAAATGCTTAGAAGCCTAAGACGAATGTAAAAACCTGGTCAAGAAGTGCATAGTGGAAAATATAAAAAAATAGTCTTGCAATGATGAGCAAATTATAATGAAATAGGCAAAAAATGGAAATCAAGGAACAGAACTAAATAAAAAGTAATATTAAATAAAAACTCTGCTTAAATGTTAACTTACATATGTGCATACCACGATTAAACAAGTTTTTAAAAAAAAGCATCGTTATATTAATACGTGTTTGTATTGTACTTTACGAGAATTTGTACATATGTATTATGAAAAAAAAAACAAAGAAACAGTACAAAATGATTCAACAATAATATCGTATAAAAAGTAAATAACTACATTGCATGCCACAATAGTTAATACATATGTAGCTTTGTCTACTACACTATTAGGCAAGTAAAAATCAAAAATGGTTTACAACTTCGCATTCTTATTCTATTAATTTACCTACTATTGTTAACTTACTATCTACTTAAGGAATGAGAATGTTTTAAATCGTTTAAGTACATCAAAAATACGAAAGGTACATTTTTCTCTTTTTATATCTACACATTTAACGTGAAGCAACCTTATTTTTCTATTAAGTAATTATTAGGTATATCAGTGCAAAAATTGTAACTATTCTTTCAATTTCACAAGGTAAAGAACATCATCATGCACCCTTCATCAAGTAATTGTAAAAAATATAAATTAAGTACGTTTACCATATGTATTGTAGATATAGCAAAAAACTATTCTGAAGCAACATTTAAAATAAACTTGACAAATACTTGTGAATAAGAGTTATGGCATAAAAAATATAATTAATATGGCTTGCCGTCTTGTTATTTCGTTTGAAAATATTTTATCCTTGGGTGAAATGAAAATTAAATATAAAAAGGAGTTATGAGAGTAGCATCAAATTTTCTAGCACAAGAATAAATTGTAGTATGATTTTATCCATGTCGACTCAAACTTATGTACATAATTCAATTCTTGAAATAGAACTACGTATATGGATTTTGCTATCACAACCACGAATTAAGATTAAAGGATTTCTTATTGAGCCGAATTAATTTAATAACGAAATTTTTACTTTCCGAAAATAAAATTATGTAAATTATTTTAACTTACCGCCATTTAAATTTGGTATAATTTGAATGAAAATTAGAAAAACTTGAAGTCGTCGATTTTCGATATCCAGGAGCTTTGATAAGTCAAGAAAAAAAAAATGAGGAAAGACATAAAACAAAGAATAGTGCAGGATTGAGTTGTTTTTAACGTATGTGCTCTGGAACAGTTAATTTTGAAATTCTAAAAAATCATACACTTGACAACGTTCGATGTACGGCTCTATAAGAATGCGAAATGTGTACAGGAGCGTGATGGAAAAGACAATGTTAGAAATGGAAAGATATTGAAATAAATAAAGAACAAAGAGGAAAGATATGATGGTAGGACACTTGAGACATGAGGAACTAAAAGACATATCAAAAGCAGAAACATCAATAAAATGGGATTGAGAAAAACTTAGATTAGATTACTATTTGCGTAAGGATGTGGAATGTTCCTATTTTCAGGAATAAGGTGTAAACGCTTGTTCAACTAGTCTTTGGATTAAAGACTCCATGAACCCATGATAATGAATGAAAATTTGTACCAGCTGTATTTGATAGTCATCATCTTATTAACCATTTAATAGTTTGTCTCGACAATCAGTTTGAGTTAAAATTAAAACAAAAATGGAATCTCACACTCAATATTTTTAATAATTACGGTTTCTTCAGTTTTTGAGTGTTTATTAAAAGTTGTACCTACTTATATGTTCAAACTTCATGGGGGCAACTCTTTTTGCACTGATATAAAGTGAAGGCAATATTTCGAAGGCATGCATATTTTCACAGAAACTATACAATTCTCTTAACTGTATTATCTTTTAACTAAATAAAAATGGAATGTTTTGTTATGACGGCTTCGATTATCATCAATAGGATCTAAAATATATAATATCAACGCTACTTTGTTATAAGTAGTAAATAATAAATACTAAAAAAGCATCACACATGTATATACATTGTCCTTAATATTAGTTAAACATTGAGCTTCAAATTTGCTTCGAACACGCACAACCAAAAATCTTTTACATTTTACTAATACCATGAAGTATAAGAATATTTTCTCGATTTGAACAAGTTACTTATCTTCTAAGAATTTTCACAATATTATTTATAATTATTTTTATTAATCAGAGATTACTTGAAATTCTAATTTCATCAATTTTACACCGATGTTATCGAATATAAGCATTCAGCACGGCTTGCACCGTAAAATTCTGAAATAGTCAATTTTTGAATAAAATTTAAAACATTTTGAATTAGACTTAACGAAACAAAAGTATGTTTTTAGCACATTAAAACTTAATAAAATACTGCCACGAAAACACCTTAAACTAACAAGACCGTAACATAAAATAGAAGCATGCAGATTTTAATTCAACTTTACAGTTGTAAAAAGACACATAATACAAAAAGGATTAAAAAATATTGGTAAATAATAATTTTTTTGCAATTGTAAATTCAAAACGTTCTTAAAATAGTTAAATGTTTTAAATCATTCAAAATTCAACTAGAAAATAAAAACATCTGGTAATTTAAAATTTTGCTATTAATACTTCAGAAAATTTAATAACTGTTCTTTCAAAATTCACAGCTGACTTTCAAGAAAAACATTTACCATATTATTAGGACCTTGAATGCACAAAGTATGTAGGAATGTAATGCAGGACACAGCGAACTTATAGATAATCTCATGGAAATCACAAAGAAAAAATAACACAGGCCACATTCTATTCTTATTCAACTTAAAAATATATACAAAAATGTGATGTAAAAACTCAAAAAATTCATTTTGTCCTTTTTCCGTCATGGGAACCGATATAATTAATGAATACTTTTTTAAAGATTTTTCAATTTTTTTGGCAAAATCGAGAATATCTGTTACTTTTTTCAAATTATTTTCCAGTTTCACCACACAAACAATGTAAGCATAAGATATTAAAAAAACTTAGGATAAACAACAATTAAGAATGCCTTTATCAAATAAACTAAAAAATATTTACCTATTTTCATCCTTCGAAGAATTTTGGATTTTCCACATATATCATGAATTCAAAATAGAATGCAGCCATCAACGAAGAGGATCATGAACCGAACAACGATGAATCAAATTAACTATAACTAAGATCAGACTACGCTCTCAAGTTTACTGCCAACTTCGTAGCAGACTTCCGTAGCAACGGTAATATTTTCATCAGAGTCGTCACTGTCCGTTGCTGACCCATCGGACCTTTCGCTTGGCCTTTTTGTCGATTGAGTCCTAGTGTCAGGTTTAGACTCTAACGTCGAACTTTTGCTCGACGGAGGATTTGAGTATTCTGACGTGTTACCTTCGTCCGACTGGTTAGGTTCTCTTTGATATTGGTTGATGTATTTAAACCTATTGGAACGTCTTCCGGGATATATAGGTCTTCGGGCCAAGCTATAAAAGAAACATCTTTTTTCAGAATAAATACAAGAACAATCGATTAAATATAGTTTCAAAGTGAACTTTTATCAAGGTCAATGATAAAGCAGGTATTAATAGGCAAACTTATAAAAAATGGATTTCCAGTTCACACAAAATTCATATGTTTTATTCAGAATTTCATAAGCCGGTCACACACCCACACAACTTTTGTTTCCGACATGTTAGCAACATGTTTTTGATGTGTCATTTCGTTTGCAGTACTGGAGTTTCTGTTTAGTTTGCAGTATTCTAGTTTTTGTTGAACACTTTAATGCAATACTTTATATATATTCAGGGCATTTCTTAAATAAGCAGTAAACTCGCAGAAGATGATAGAATGATTAAAAATTAAGTAAATGTTTGGTAGTCCGAAAGTTCATCGTTTCCAAGAAAAACGTATTTGAAATTACAGAAAAGACAGTCCAGGCCTGGTAGGATCACGTAGTAGTCCTGATCTACTTCCTACGTCCGTTGGCTTCTTTGCATATGATTTTATGAAACAACGCGTCTATCAAACGCCACGACAGAACACTACTACAGCCGTGTATATCGCTGCAAATGAAATACGCCAAAGGCCGGACGTTTAAGGTGCAAATCAGAAATAATTTTAGTAGGAGCCTCGATGTAGCTGCTTCGTTGTTATCGCAATTTCTCTGTACGTTGCCAGTTCTTCTTCTGGTATTCTTACAGATTTTTTTGACCCTTAACCACGCTTCTTCACTCACCACGCGATTCTCTATTATATCCAAAGTTTGTCACTTATTTCAGAAACACCCTGTATAAAAATAGCTCAGAAACTAAAAGGACCTGGACTAAAGTATGCTTCTATAGCTGGTAAAACAAATTTTCAATTTTGAGTTTTTGCCATTCAACTCCGGTTATACCTTACGAACTGATAAATCCGTTGAAACAATCAGCCTGTATATATATGTAATCGCTTTTAATTTAATGGTATAGGGCACTGCATCAACCCTTACAAAACTGGCAAATTAAACACAATATTTTTTTCCTCATAACAATATGTAAAAATCAATTTCTACAAAAAAGTGCAAGTAAAAATAAAATGAAACAACATATTCAAAGAAAGTTCCTTTGACTCAATTCTAATTTCATGCAAAGCATTTTGATTCTGCTAATCGTTAAAAAAAAAAGAACTAGTTTTAAGAAATACAAAATAGTAGCTTCAAATCATCTGATACACATATTGAGATGGAGTATGTACCTTAATTTGCTCAAGAAGTCCTTTTCGTATTTACTACAAAAAAAGGTGTAAATTGTTAAAAATATATTTCACACTGACGTTGTAGGTATCAATATAAGATAGGGACATTGTATATCTAATTAAAAATTCAATACATAAATTTTGCACCCTAGGCAAACCAAATATAATTATATGCTTTACATTTTAAAAGGTAATCGAATTTCAAAAGTAAGATAACCCCAATGCTCCTTAAAAACATACAAATAAGATGCCATTAGGCGGTGTTCATCATTTCGTTTAACACCCAAACACGAGTCTATAGTCAATTACAGAAACGCTACCAAAAGTTAACCTACCTTCTTCTACGTAGCGAATGATCATACTGTCCATCTTCGCCTTCTTCATCAGTAAGACTATCGTTAGTGGCATCCTCAGCACTCTCCAACTCCTTGGTTTCTGAGCATCGCCTCTTTTTTAGTACGCCGTCTATATTATCCGATACATTTCCATTTTCTAATGATCGCGTATCTGTTAGAATATTTCCATTGGTGATCGTTATTATTTCAGAAACTTTTCTTCCTATTGTCTCTAGATGATCATCATCACTGTCGCGAATACCTTTATGGTGTGGATTTCGATTGACATCGTCATTCGGTTCGTCGAGGAACTCGGAACAGGGAGTTCCAGAATGAGTTATAGAGATAAATTCACGAGCTGAAAAAAAATAATCATCAAGGGTATATTTCAAAGTTATACGAAAAATGCACTTACATAATTGGTGATCTTGTTCCGACAAATAACATATTTGTACTGTATTCCCATTGTAAGCATCACCTTCATCTGAACCATCTTTAAACTCTCGTAGAATAACTCGTTGAGGTTGGCATGATCTCGATAGACTAAGAGGAATAGTACTTGCTGTGGTATTACTGCTTGGACTCATATCAGTCTCACTTATATCCATACATTCTGTCTGAGTTTCTGTATCAACAAGAACAGACATACGATTACTAGACGACCGCGAGCACCCGGATGTTCTTGGTGATCCTGAATTCGATCTGTGATGTCTTTTGCGAAAAGGTCGTGTAGCATTTTGTCCATGAATGGGAGCCGCTGGGTCTACCGTACTTGAAGATGATACGGCGGTATTGTATAATGGAGATTTAGACTGAACCTAAAACAACGTAAATAGCGAATGTTTACTATTTTAACATTCATCATCATAAGGTCGTCAGTCCTAAGACTGGTTGGACACGTACCTCCACTCTTTCGTATCCTGAGCTAAACTTCGAATTACCCTAAAACTAGAACAGCCCAAATCCTTAACTATTTGCTAACAGTAATCTAATCTAGGTCTACCTCTACCAATCCTAACTTCCGTTTCTGCCTCTAATATGTCTCTGACTAACCCTTCATGCCTGAGAAGGTGTCCTACCAACCTATTTCGCCTATTTTTTATTGACTTCCATAGAGTCCTCTGTTCTCCTATTCTTTCCAATACTTCTTCATTTCTAACCTTTTCTACCCACGATATCCTCTTCATCCGCCTATTCCAACCTTTTCTTTTCCGCCGCGCCCACTGTCCATGTTTCGCACCCGTACAATGCCGTGCTCCAAACGTACACCTTTAACAATCTTTTTCGAATTTCTAAATTAACCGTTCGCGAACACAGAAGTGACTTCTTTTTATTAAAGGCGACACAACCCTGCGCTATCCTCTGCTTTATATTCGTGCTACTCCTTCCATCCTGACTTATCTGACTTCTTAGGTATCTAAAATCAGCCACTCCTTCTAATTTTTCGTCTCCTATCTTTATATTCTCTCTTTCCCTACTTTTTCTTCCCTTGCATATTTTTGTTTTACTTTTATTTATTTTCATACAGTATTGATCTGTCAGTACCGCTTCCATTTTATTTAAAGCTATCTCTAGGTCCTCCTTGCTAGATGCTAATACTGCTATATGATCTGCAAATCTAAGTATACTAATCTTTTGCCCTTGCACATCTATCCCTACAGTTGTACTGTCTTTAATGATGTTGATGGCGTCTTCGATATATAGATTAAAATATTTTAACATTATAAACAATATTTGTTAAATAAACCAATTTTATATATCATTTAATAATTTTGTAGCATCCACAAAATTATTTCGGTCAATAGGATCGTTCTCAAGAGTAGAACACAGCATACCTTACTGCAATTTAAAATGCTTACAACTATGCTTATCCTTGTGGTAGATCGACAAAGAAAACAACTATTTATAATTTGTCTAATGTAAAAGATAAATTATAGACAAAAATTATTGAAAGAATCTTCATAAAAAAATAAATTACATACATCTGGAACAATTTAAGCATAAAAAGAAAATTTATGACTAAAATCGAACACTAAAAACAGGAAAATCGAATAAAATCCTGTGGAACTGAACTAAATAGAATACTAAAATCGTAAAATCCACATCAACTATTTAATAAACTAGAACATGTTTTGACACTCAAATATTAAAAAAGGTAATCTTCAGTAAAATTACCGATTGGAACCATCATCGCAGGGTCGTCTACCCAAAGACTAGTTGAACCCCCACCTCCCTCTTTTCCTATCCCGACCCTATTTTTGCGTTAACTAGCTTCATGTCTAAAAAGGTGCCCTACAATCCTATCTTACCTTTTCCTTTTTTATAACCCCGTCTGTTTTACTTTTTCTAATATCTCCCTACTCTTATATCTATAGTATTTTTGTAATTTGGTTACATCACGAAATGTTTTCAATTTTTTTCTTTTCCCCCATACCAACCGTCCACATTCGTATACAATCGTACTCCAAACGTAGGTTTTTAGTACTCTTTTCCGAATTTGTAAATTAATCATAAACATATTTGTTAATTTCTAGTTTCTTTATGATATATAAATGCTTTTTCACGTCAACAAATAGGCAGAATGAAGTAAGTAAATATACTCTTTCACAAAACTTATATTATGCAAATTATACTTACTGTTTGTGGACTATCAGGGCTTGTAAGACTGTATTCTGGACTGGTGGGTGTGGTACTGTGTTGACTTCCTCTTCTCTTCTCTAATTTTTTCATAAAAGGATGAATTAATCTGCGTTTGTTTTGCATCATTTCTCTTTTCCTGCATTCCTGTTTTTGTTGATCCAATTGGAGTAAAACGACAGATAACTCGAGATACATTTGATTAACTCTTTCCAGCTTTCTATCATACAATTCCTTAATATCGCGTATATGCTTCAATTCATTTTCTCGTTTCTTAACTAACTGTTCTTCTTTCAAATAACATTCCTGTCTTCTCTTTTGAAGATTCATCTTGAAATGTGTTATCTGAGTTTTAATTTCTTCTTTCCAACTCTCCTGTGTCTTGAAGAACTGCTTGTCTTTGTAACTACTCAATATCTTGAAATAAAAAGGAATGGTAACATTATAAACAAAACAACTATTACTTTCTCCTTACCTCTACTGATGCAATTTCCAAGTGATTACAAATAAGCTTAAACGACGGTCTATCTTTAGGATTAAACTTCCAACACATTTGCATAATCAATTTAAATCCTTCCGGACATGTCGTTGGTATAGGAGGGTTAAGTTTTCCACAACCAACTAGATACATTATGGCACTTTGTTCCATATCTTTATAGGGGGTCTCGCAAGTTAGCAGTTCCCACAAGACAACTCCAAATGACCAGATATCAATTTTTTCTGAACAAGCTTGCTCTTGAATGGCTTCAGGCGCCATCCAAGCCACTGTGCCCGCAAAACTCATCTTAGTACTGACCTCGTTCCACATCCTCGAAGTTCCAAAATCACTTATTTTTATCACCTCATTTTCCCCTATTAAAACACTAAAAGGGTAAATCACATTAAGAATATTTATATTGCTATCCATAGATAAATAAATTTTATCTTACAATAAAAACATCATTCTGAAAGTTTTGGTGTTTTATATTCGTCATTACTGTTTCAAAACATATATTATTTCTTTATTATATGGTAGTACTTTGCTTCAAAAACAATGTAAATGATTTACCATGATCCCTTTTTCGTATGCTATGGATTAAGGGTTGCAAAGTGAGTATTCCTATATTAGCAGTAACTTAAGGAAAAAAATAAATATAACCGGTAGAAAACTTCAGCTCAAAATGTAGTTTTATATGCAGTTAAATACAAGAATGATGTATGTTCGCATTTTTAAAGGAGGAAAACAATTTTAACGCTTCTGTACCAGTACCTATTTAAAATAAAAAATACCATCAGATGATTAAGATTAAAACTCAATATTTTAATAATGCAATTGATAAAAAATTTGAAAATTGTCATAAAATACTTTTTATCGCCATTTATTTAGATTTATAGTAGAATAATGTTAAACTAACTTTAGTTAGAGTAATTATTTAAGAAGCAAATAAAGTTTGTATGTCAATTGTTTTTGTACACAATTATCTACTTTTTGGTCAACAAATAAAAATATCAATCAAGCTCCTCCACTAAACGTTGTGATATTGTTATTGAACGGTAACAGATTGACAGATCATTACAGGATAATAAAACAAAAACATTGACACCTTAATCCACAATCTAACCATACCTAAGCGTAACAAACTAAAACTCATTGTTTTTAGGAGTCCGTACCCCAGTAAAAACAAAGTCAATTAAGTTATGTACCTATTCTTTACTTCTTCCCTTTAGTTTGAATAAGTGTAAAAAAAAATCAGAACCAATAAGGGTTGTAAGGTTATATTTTTAGTGTAGATATCTTATCACCAGAAAACAATAAAAATAAACAAAACATGAGGTCACAAAATGTCCATTTTCGATATTTAATTTTGAAATATGTCTCTTCGTTGTTTCTAAATGCACTAATTCTAACAAACAATAATAGAAACACAATTATTACAGAGAATTAATAAAATATATGATAAGTAAAAAAAATCTCAAAAACTCTTTTAATCATCAGATGTTTTATTTAATATAAATTTAAGATTACTTATAAAAATTTTAACGTAAAAATCATTTTTAATCTTTTATCCACTACAAACTACCTCAAATTATTGAGGGCAAATTTGTTGCTGCTGTCACATCCTCGTCGGGAATCGAACCCGGGACCTTTGGCTTTACGCACCAATGCTCTGACCACTAAGATCTCGGGATCGATTCCCGGCGGGGGTGTGACAACAGCAACAAGTTTTCCCTCATTAACCTGAGGTAGTTTATAGTGGGTAAAAAATTGAAAATGAATTTCCGCATTAATATTTCATATTAACTACTATTAAATGTCAAATTGTTTCATATATATAAAAAATTTTACGCATTTTTTAATTAATGTTTTATTACATAATACTATTTTATGGATTTGTTTTGTGATTATGCTAACTTATAAACTATGGTAGTGACAATGACGTTAGTTTATGGTATGGTTCATATGAATGGAATTATTAAATACTAACTCATATGAAATAAAATTTAATTTAAAAAATGAAGGTCGGCCGTTGCCCGTAAATATTATTATTATTAACACGTCAGGCGTCAATTTAATAATGAAATGTATTCTAGAACATTTGGACATGTGGGTGCAACAAAAAATGCATTATTTTGTTGTCCTTGTTTGCTTTTTGTCGGCGATAAAGCGATAAAATTTATCACTTCAATGAAAAGATTATGAATAAATTTTCTTCTGTAAGTAATAATACCGACTAAATTAAATTTAATAAAACAGAACATTGTAAGACACCGGTCTCACGAGTCAGCACTATGGGGTACCCATTTTAAACACAGTTCCAAAGAATTCAATTTTTCAGTTTAAAAATATTTCTACAAATACTTATACAGGGTATCTCAAGCAAACAGGTTTCTACAATAACTGCCTTACAGTTGACGATATCAAAAAAAGTTTCTTGCAAAAGTGGTACCAAATCATATCCTAAAATTATTTTCGATTATACAGTGTCCCATTTTTCCTAGAAGCAACCTAACTTTATTTTTTCAATTGGAATACCCCATTTATTATTATGCTTTTAAATTTCTCGTTAAATTTAAATACCACTATATTAACCACATATTATATCTAAAATGTATCAATTCTACGCCATTTTGAATATCTCCGAAACGAAAGCACACACGGCTTGTAGAAGAAATAGCCTATTATTATTTCCACTATTAACGCAAACGTGTTATTTTCAAATTAATTGAAATCTACCACTTCCAAAATATGGTGGAAATAGTAGGTCATTTCATCCACAAGCTATGTGTGAAAATAGCACACCTCTGTGTGCTTTGGTTTCGAATATATTCAAAATGGCACGGACCACTGTGATAGCCTATTTATTGATTTAGTGCGAATTTTATGAAAATTGGTACATTTTAGGCATAATATATAGTTAACAAAGTGGTATTCAAATTTAAGTAGGAATTAAAAAGTGTAATAATAAAAGAGGCTTTCCATTTGAAAAAATGAGTTAAGTTGCCTCCAGTTAAATTGGATCACTCTGTATAATCGGAAATAATTTAAGTATATGAAGATACTTATATGGCATATTTGTAAGAAACTTTTTCGATATCTTCAATTGTGAATAAGTTATTGAGGAGACACTTGGGACACCCTGTATATACTTAAAAACATTTTCCACCTCTATCTCTGCCATTACGATAATCAGTATTATAAAAACTTGGGTTTATTATGTTACCAATCTAGCATACAATATTTCAAAAAATTCGCATTTCGCTGAATTACTTCTAAAATTCAAACATGTTCAACAAGGTCAGTAAGGATATCGACGTGGTAGGTATGTACAGTCTATTTCAATTTGTTAGAATTGTGACCTTGAAGAAATCTTCGCGAATATAGAAAGAATACACAATAAGCGTGAGCAAGACAGAAATAGTTGGAACAAGCTTGAACGAGCAGAGCTCTGATGGGCGGTCTTAACAGATCGGCTAGAACTGTACAGTACTAGACGAAAATGTTTAGCAATTTCTTAAAACAAAAATGTATATAAATTAACAATAGAAAACAAAGCATAAGTTTTATAGGTATGTAAAGCGTTAAGTTAATTCACTTGTTATTATTTTTGGCTAAATATGCTTTTAAATAAAGCATATTCTTAAATTTTAACGAGGCAATTTAAATAATTTTGCTAATGGTACTGTACACTTTTGTCTAGCTCTCGCTCGACGATAGGTGAAGAAATGAGCTCCGCAGACAAATATGATTGAATTTGGAATTACGCTACGGCACATCCTAATAAAGGGAGGGGGCATATCTCCAACTTCTTGAAACGAACAGTAACTAATAAACAGAACAAAAAGTTCCTGGTGGTTAGTATTCTCACGAAACCGTCAGACGCGGTTCGCAATTTCTATCTAATAGGATCTTAGCGATACGAAAATACGAAGACAGTTCCGACAGAACACAGATCCATTCTACCTGATGCTTTAAACATTGGGTGTTTCATTTCCACCATCTACTAATGCTGATGGGCGGGCAGTCTCTTCGGACTACGTCGGAAGGTAGGGCGGAAGATCTTCTTCAGCCTCCTTCCAAGAATCGTGGGAATTGGTGGGTAGTGGTTCAGGTGAGAAAGATGAAACGGATGAAATGAAGACAGCAGAGAATGAAAGATTATCTATGCAATATTACTGCCCCAGCATTTGCCTAAGTGATCCAAAGTAAGCACAGAAAAACTTGGACCAAAGCAGACGGACCCGGAATCGAACCGGAGTACTCCCGAATGCTAAGCAATGGTCTAAGCCAGGAATGAACGACATGCGGCCCGTTAAACATGTTTCTTTGGCCCGCCAAGCATTTCTAAAATTGAGTTTATTTTATCGACTTTGAATCGAAAATGTTTTCCTCGCCATTTAATATCGATGTAGATACAGTTCTCGAAGACATTCAAATGGAAGTGATTGACATGCAGAATAATACCGATTTAAAAAATGTATTTTTCTCAGTAAACATCAAAAATTTTTATAAATCGTATGTGAGTCCTGAGAAATTTCCACTTTTGACGAAAAATGCAACGCAAATGACGTCTCTGTTCGGAAGTACGTATGTTTGTGAACAATTATTTTCAACCATGAAATTAATCAAAAATGAGCACCGATCAAGACTGAGTGATGCACGATTAGAAAGCTGCGTACGTGTAGCTACCTCATCAATTCCGGTTGATATTGATCAGCTTGTATCGAAAAAACAGTGCCAAATTTCTCATTAAAAATTTCAAGACAATTCGTTTTATTGTTTTTTTCTTGTTTGTTTTTATTTTGCATTAAAATTTGTATATTTAATCTTTACTTTTTTTAAATTTTATTTTTTTCTATTCTAATGTTTATTATAAATAAAGTTTTGTAAATTATTATAAAGTGTTACTTTATGTGCGGCCCGCCAAAAAATTTCAAAATTTAAATTGACCGATTGATTAAAACGGTTGCTCACCCTTGGTCCCGCTCCGTCCTGATGCTTTAAGATAGCGTTTTATATATAGCCTATAAAATTGAAAGTTCCCCCTGAGATTTTCAAACCATCCTCATAAGGTCTTACTCTAGTACGCCATAATAGTTGAAATGCCTAGCCATAAGGGTAGAAGAAGATGACAACAAAGTCTGTCGCATCTATCAGAACTGCTGATGAGATCAAAATCGCGATCCGAGTCTGACGATTCAACAGAATATTTACCATCAGGAACTTTTTGTTCTGTTAGGCTACGTGCCTACAACGTTGAGGTAGCTACTCCGTGGATATCTTTATGGACTGTGTTGAAAATTTTTGATTTCTACAAAATGAAGCAATATTCTACAGATGGCGTTTATCACGCTGACTGTAGTTATTCATAAAACGCTGTTTTAACGTGCTGATAGATCCATTGAGATCGAAATTCCCATTCGCGTCTGACGATTTCAACCACGAGGAAGTTTTTGTTGTATTTATTGTTAATTTTACACTTATTATTATGACGACATTTTATAACTTACTTTGGGCTTTTGAGGTCCCTGTGTATAATTTTATGGGAATGTAAATACTGCATTCCACTAGCAATCTGTTTTGCCCAACTAACTATTCTAATTGGTGTGACGGATTTGTCCTGTTTCCTGAGAAGATCGTATAAAGGTCCATATGGGCAATATTCCATTACTATACAGAAGCAAGGAGGTTGCGTGCACACGCCTTTGAACTTAATAATATTGGGATGGTTGAGTTTGCGCAAATTTCGTATATCTGTCTCTTTTATGTCCGAAACCTTCTTTACTGCCACAGGTTCATTATTAAGTGTCCCGTAAAACACTATACCTTGCCCTCCACAACCCAACCACTTCAAATCGGTTATTAATTCAAATGGAATTTCCCAATCATCTGTAAGAAATAAAATTAAATAATACAATTACATAATAATAATAATGAATATACAACACAATAAGCGTGAGCAAGACAGAAATAGTTGGAACAAGCTTGAACGAGCAGAGCTCTCGATGGGCGGTCTTAGGAGATCGGCTAGAACTGTACAGTACTAGACGAAAATGTTTAGCAATTTCTTAAAACAAAAATGTATATAAATTAACAATAGAAAACAAAGCAAAAGT